TTTGAGCATAATAATTATGTTTCTTTTAACAGAGTCTTAGGGTTTGGAGATTTTTTGGGTTTGTTTTTGAACCAGTATAATTAACACTGATGACAAATGCTGCTGCTCTGCTTGTATCAACTTCTGATATACCCCATTCTTTAAAGAAGTCATGTTTCTGCTAATTTTGCAAACATTCTGCTTTGTTTGTTATCATGAATTATATTGTGTTCTCAGTGTACTTTACAGTTTATAAAATACAGACTATGATAATCCTTGTCCTTATTTTTATACTCAGAACTGTGTGATAGTTACTTGAGGGTAGAAACATGAATGCCTATAAATAAACAGTTTCATCCTCCATTATTTTAATGAAGATTTCAGCTACTTGATACATTAATTTTTAAAAAATAACTCAGTTAATGCTCTCCCAGTTGATATGAAAAATAAGCATATCAGATGTCAGAAGTAATTTAGAAATCAGTATTTTCTGGAAACTCACTCGTCATTCTTCTGAAATCAGTTTGTGACAAAACTAAAAGTTTTCAATGCTGAATGCTCTGGTCATGATGATTTGGGATATGCTTTCAAGATAACATCACGGGTCAGCCTCTTCTAATGGATGAGGAGCACAGACAAATCCCTGCCAGCAGAGCAGAGGGTCTCCCCCTGAAGACTGAGCAGAACACCTTTGGAAAACCAATGAAAAGTAGATCTCAACAGGATGTGTATTATACCAGAAATCTGGCAGGCTTGATGAGGGTGGCATGTGAGTGCTGTCATCACCAGGATTCCTGTCTGGGCTTCCTAAACATATGTAGCTGTACAAACAAGAGCAATGCTTTGTTGGCATCTGGCTTCTTCATGAGCCATTTCCTGCAATTAGCTGCATTGTTTGTAAATTCATGTGTCTGTGTCACCTTGATCTGCTGGCAGTAGCTGCCTATATGTGAAAACTAGAGACCCTACATGGGTATTTGTAAGATAATTTTTTCCCCAGGTGTTTCCAAGAAGGCTCAGAATTGAAAAATATTATGAGGGAAAGGTGAGCAGTGGCCGTAGAAGAAGATAGCTAGAAGGCAGAGCTTAAGTGTACAAGACACTTGGTCCAGAGGTTAACAAGCATTTGGACTATTTGTTTTCCTGTGAAATGGAGGAATCATGTACAAAAAGAGGGTAGAAAAAACCAAATTGCTATTAGAATTTAGAATGAAAATTACACTGCATACTGGGCTGGAAGTCTGCTGGATAATGTTTTGGTAACATTTCTACATATTCAGCTCATCCCCACATAGTATGACATATGCATATGTTCCCTGCATAATCCTTTATTATAAAAGGCAGCATTGCATTATCACTGTTGAAAGTGAGATCAAATAGACATATTTACCTGGAAGAACATCCCCATGTTCAGAACCTGGTGTTTGAGTTTGTTGATTTTCACTCAGGTGTGTGTGAAGGTGTGCATGCTCACACCTGCACTCACACAGTTGTTGTGCATCATCAGCTGCTTTTGCATGCAGGCGTTTCAATGTGTCCCTCCTGACTGAGGGAGGTGAGGTTGCATATGTGGAAATTCTGTCTCCTGCTCATGCAGATGATGGAGTCTGTGTCTCTGCATGCAGTTGGTGATGCACAGTACTCCTCACACCTGAAAACCCTAGCGTTCCATATCATGACCTATAATCATACCAAACTCTTTCTGCCTCTTTGAGAGGGAGTGTTTGGGTGAAGTGCCAGAAGGAAATGAGAAGGATTAAAGGGGAAGATTAACTCAGTTGTCTTTCTATTCTGTGGGGCTTTTTTCCCCCTTGTCTTCTGTCAATATTTTTAGTGCACTGAAAACAGCACAAAGGCTTTCATTTAGCTCCTGCAGATACAAGCTCTGCAGCTACATTTGTGATAACAGTGTTTGATGTGGTTGCAGTGGGCTAAGCATAAAGGTGAGGTGGTGTTTATAGGTAAGGCAAAGCAGTGTTTATAGGTAGAGGTAATATCTCTTCTAAGACCTATCAGTAGTAGAAGTTTGTGCACTTAGAAAAAGTAGACAAGCTTTCAAGCACAAAAGCTGCAAGGCACAGAAAAGGATTTTATTCTTTTTTGAAATGAAACTAGTAGGAAGAAAGCATTGGAAATGCTAAAAGAGAAGTTTTCCATGAGGGTATAAGCTTGAGGGTGTATTGGAAGAAAAAGGTGTGTTGCTGATGGGGAAGGTAAGATCAGAAATGTAGAGCAAAGTAGAAAGAAACAAACCAAAGGGGGGAAAAGGCAGAGAGAACCTAAAATGTTTATTTCATGTAATAATTTCTGGGAGACTCATTTGAATAACATATTGTAGCTGTAAAAATTTCTGCAAGATTTCCTGCAAAGGGGGTATTTACCACCATGTAGAGTGCAATCACTTCAGTGTGAATAGAAACATGAAGTGTAGGAAAAGAAGTGAAGAGTTCTTAATCAGATTATTTTGTAGGAGGAAATAGACTCCAAGGATCCAGCCTATCCTCCATTAGCTTTCCACACTTGCAACAGTGTGAGAGAGAAAGAAGGAAAAAGTGGAAATGGTGAGGCTAGAAGTTCATTCTTGCTTGTTGTTAAGATCATCATCACCCTAAGACTATAAAGATCTCCATAAGACTATAAAAATCTCCAGGAGAAGGAGATTGGAGCTAATTTCTCTAAGTATGACGCTCATCATACTTAACCGCTAGGGCCTGTTTAACCCATGGTGTCAATTGTGGAAATTATCCCATACTTAGTTTGTGCCTTTCTAGCTCATTCTTCATAATTTTCTTCCTGAACATGCAGCATAAACAACATGGAGAGAAACTTCACTTTCAGATATCATAGATAACATCGTATGGATAATATCCAGCTCTTGCAATCCTCAGTATCCATGCTGTCACGCAGTGCCCTACAGTTCTGAAACCTGCAAACACTTTTCTTGTTATTCAGTTCATCAGTGAGGATGGATGATCCCTGCACCACTGGATACGTGCAGTGATGATTTCTTGTACTTTTACAAATGCCTTTCATGGCAGGTACACACTGCCAACCCTTGAATTTGTCTTTTGGTAGCAACTGGGGTAAAGACTGGGGTGAATAAATTTTACTTTTGATACCAAGGCATAGATGAGTCTTCAGAATATGTCTAAGACCAATTATAGTTAACATCAGGAAATTGCTTTTGGCACATTACTTACTTTTAGATCCTTACATCACTGCCAAAACAGAGGTATGCAGTTTCTGGAGCCTTTGGAAAGATATGACTGTGCAGAAAGGAAGAGAAATGAGCCAAGTTGTTGTGTCCCATTTGCCTCACACCCCCACCCCGCTCCAACACATCTTTGCAGAATGACAGCTGCATTACATCCTCAGAAACACTTGACCTGATAAAGACCAAAGGGAAGGCAAAGTTATATTTGTACTTCTCTGGGACTTTCCCAGCATTGATTACTGATTCTCTCATCCCTCTGGCACTTCTGAGCAATGGTAGCCCCCTTGTTGCTGCCAGACTCTCTGTAAACAGTTGTTCAGACACTTTGTTTGAAGGTTGCCTCACAGAAAGGAGTCCCAATGTTCACTGTTTGAGTGTCCTTTGTTTCTACTGGAGAACTCTGTATTGCCTACTAGGGGCACTTAGTAATCTTCTGGACTTGAACCAACATTTTCTCATGACTTTTTGCTAAGTGTGTTGATCAGAAAGAAGGCAAAGAGCTTGTCATGTTGCTGTTCTTTTCATAAGACAAATGTTATTGTAGGAGCTGTGCTGTTGGCCTTTGAGACAGGTCCAGCACTGTCTTGAAACAAATAGGGAGACTCTGCATGCTGGATAGAATCTGGCCTTTTCTAGCCTGCTTTTCTGTTTAATTATGAAAAGCCTAATTTTATCACGATGACATAGCTTCACACCTCTTCTGAAATATTTTTCTTTACATGTATCATGCAGTTTCACCATGGATTTATTGCAGCAGCGTTTGCTAGATGTCAGGTTGTTCTAGGCTGAGAAAATAGGAGGAAACAATGAGATATTGTCAGTTACTTGTTTGGAGACGGACTTGGATAGTTAAAGAGAGGAAAAACCCGAAACAATATATGAAGTCGCACAGCTGGTATGCCAAAAGTTACAAAGTGATGTTATCATGGGGTGTCTTGATTGGAGTTGACTGAATGTTGCATGGCATTCCAGCTCTCTGCATCACAAAACTATCAACATAGTAATTACCAGAAAAGCAGAAACCTGTCAGCAGCCAAAAGTCCAATTGTTTTCATCCCAGAGTAAGGGTAGATAATAGTAGGCTATGCTCATATGTGACAGGGCACTCGCTGAGTTGTTTGGATAGGAGGAAGACTGTGGGCAGTTGAAATTCTAGGCATGCAGGGCCTGGGTTTCTTTTGTGCAGGTATTTTTTATTGCATGCTCAGTAGCAAGCTTTCCTGAAACTTTTGACACAAATACAAATACAGTTGGCATCAAAGTTGGGATGGAAGCAGCATCACTTGTGCAAATCCATGCCTGGCCATATGTTTAATGTATGATTAGTACCTGGAATCAGAGGGAAGGCTTGAAGCATGAATAAGGCAATACCACACAGATTAGTTATGGGTGAGCAATATAATATCTTCAGTATACAGAGTACATTGTACAGGCTGTACTTTAGCATCTGATATTATGCTCTAGCCAGTGTAAGTATTACTGAAGATAGTAAAATAGCTTCTTCTGATGTTTACTATGATCCTGCGTTACAGGACTAGTTTTCAGGGCAGTCTTTATGTGTGATTTCTCTCAAAAAAAAAAAAGTGATGGTGTGTTTTGCTTGGGAGCATAAGCCAATGTGTATTTTTTATATCACTTCTTCTCCTTACACACCCTAAGAAAATTCTTTCTGACAATGTGCATGACTGTACATCTGCTGCATAGAGGTTTGAGTTGTAATCTTCTGCTGTTTAATGTTTGTGGGCCATTTTAATAGCAACCAGGTAAATGTTAACCTGTAGGCAATCTTATTTGTTGTTTCTTGCAGGTTTTAAAATCTAAAGAATTATCATCACCAGGACAGCGTTACATTGACAGCAAAGTAGTTAAAACAAGAGCTGAAGGAGAATGGTTGTCTTTTGATGTCACTGAGGCTGTACATGAGTGGCTCCATCACAGAGGTGACAACAAGTTCTCTTTGCCTTCACTCCTACCCCAACTGCTCCTCCATTAACTCAGCAGTATTCCAGAGTCATTCCACGTGTAAAAAACAATTCCACTCACTTTTATGTTTTGCAGACAGGAACCTTGGATTTAAAATAAGCTTACATTGTCCGTGCTGTACCTTCGTGCCTTCCAATAATTATATCATCCCAAATAAAAGCGAGGAGCTTGAAGCAAGATTTGCAGGTAATGAAAGGAAAAAAGAACTTTTTAAAATGTTGTGGTACTTGCTAAGTAAGGAGGGAAACAAAAAGCTGTTACTGTCCCCTAAATGGCATTCAGCTGATTGAAAACTTGCTCATTTGAGAATCATGATTCTCAGCTGGAAGGAAATTGTATTAAAGGCACAAGGGTAAAACTATATCAGCTGAAGAATTCTAAAGTCAGATGGCATCAAAATACATCAGATGGATGTATTTTGTGCATGTAGCTTTGACGTCCTTAAGTGTCTGTGTGACATGCTGGATATACATACAATTTTGGATGTAGGGAAGGCTTGTACAGTAGACCATCCACGATTGGATAGTAATGAGAAAACATGCTGAATATTTTCAAAATAAACCCTTTGCTATCCGTCCTAGTACTGTGATGAATCAGACTTAGTAGAAAAGATTGGATTGAGTGGGCATTAAAAAGTAAAAAACAGTGTGTAGTGAGAGTTATGGATATATGTGTTTTGCAGCCATTAAACTTTCAGTTTCAAAGAGGGAAATTATATTTAATCAACCGTGCTGTAGTTGTCATCTACCAGTACATATGAAGCTATGTCTGTATTAGAATCAATTCTAACCTAAATTGTGTTTATACAGTTCTCATTTATTGAAAGTATATCATGATTTGCTTCATTTAGTTTCCAAGGATTTGGCTATGTTCATTGTAAAGTATTACATTTTTCTAATCATTGTTTCACTGCATTGAAATTCTTTCTGTAAGTAAACACATGTACTGTATATATGATTAAAGCCGTTGTGTGTATTTTAAAAATTGTTAGTATAATGTTTGGTCACTCTAATTGCAAATGTTACAAAAAGAAAAGTATCTTTTCCTGTTTAGATAGTGTTATCTGGTTCAGGAGGTTGATTTTCAAAAGGATCTTAGAAACAGGCATACTGTGACTCCTAGGAAAGGCCAATACCTTGAGTCTCTTGCCTGTGCTATTGCCGTGAAAAGAAACTAGTAAGGCAGTTTGTGCTAAAAGAGAAAATACGAAGTGTGAGGTCATGAGCTGCCACTTCTAGAAGAAATACATCGATCAATGTCTTTGCCATGCCCATACAAAAGAAGGGACTAGAAAAACCAATTTTCTGGGGAAAATTAGCAGATTTAAATAAACTGGCAATGGGAGACAGAGAATTTACAGGTATTAGAAAGGAGTGAATGTGATGAAGAAAACTAATGAGATAGAAGTAAGCAGTGGAAAATGAAGGTGAAGTATCCAGAGCAGCTTTAATGGTGTTAAGAGGTTTTAAGAGCTAAATAACTGTTAAAAGTTGGGAATACTGCCCTAAGTGGAGTGACAAAAGAATCACTGCTTTGAGCATTTGGAACTAAGCAATGCAGATGCAGTGACTAAAATTATCTTTTCTTTACTCATTTCAACAGTTCTGGTAAATGTGCTGAAATGCCATTAAACAGCAGTGGACATGGGAGAGCTGGTACAATAGATAATATGAGAACTGTGACTAAATTAGGGATCTTGGGTTGAAATTTACCCCCACTTCCTCAGTAAACATGCTCAGCTGATACCATCATGGCCCAGTTTCTGAGAGAATTTTTATAAGAGATGGTTTATTTAATTTGTGAAGAAAAAGCAACACAATGTTTATCACCAAAATGTATTTTTTGAAGGTATTGATGACTACACATATTCCAGTGGTGATGTGAAAGCTTTAAAGTCCAATAGGAAAAAATACAGTGGGAAGACCCCACATCTTCTGCTAATGTTATTACCCTCCTACAGACTTGAGTCGCAACAGCCCAGTCGGCGGAAGAAGCGTGCTCTAGATGCTGCCTATTGTTTTAGGTAACTATGCATCCAGATTCAATATACTTACATAATAGTACCAGCCTGTGAGGTGTAATACAGTTACCTACCATGTTTCTTTACAGTTGGCATTTATGCAGGACGCAGACCCTCATTCGTAGACCCATGGGGTCTGTGTGCAGTAGGTGTCTGCCCAGTGGTCTCCAATCCCACAGAGATAGGGGCAGGTGAGGGAGGTTGTGACCTTGGACAACAGAAGCTGAATTCCATCTGGGATGATTCCCAGATGCATTAGCCCCATAATTACAGCCAAATTATCGCCTCCACTGTGCTTACCTACTCAGAGAGTCAGTCCCCTTCACAGGACCTGGAGAAAAACACTTGACTAGTCTTCCAGGGAAACAATTAGCTTTGTCTGTATAAGCAAGTCCTGCCATGTCTAGGCATCTGATTTCAGTTACAGTATAAGATACTATTGATTTGATTTGGTTGTGAATTTTTGAAACTCAGACTTGCCTGCCTGTAAAGCATCATTCAGGAGGCAAGCAACTGGATTGTTTTTATTCCCTATGTTGTCTTCATTATGACTGATATGTTTGTCTGTCTTTTATTTCCCAGGAATGTGCAAGATAATTGCTGTCTGCGTCCACTTTATATTGACTTCAAGAGGGATCTTGGCTGGAAATGGATTCATGAACCTAAAGGTTATCATGCTAATTTCTGTGCAGGAGCCTGCCCATATTTATGGAGCTCAGATACTCAGCACAGCAGAGTAAGTAATTATTTTACTAATTTTCAGCTTCTGTTTTGTAACTGCAGGGTGAACTATGTTTCTGGGACTGACATAAGCACGAATGCCCAAAGCTAGTCTCAATAAGTAAGGATTATGAAATGGGTCCTATAGAGGAACTTGCTCGTGGCCTCAAGCTAGTGTTGGAACCATAGGAATGTATTGGCCCAGAGATATTTTCCAAATGTTCTCATCGACATAACATGTGAATGGATTGATTTTTATTTTTTTTCGAGTATGAGCTTGGTGTAGCTTTGGAAGGCAGCCTGAGAAGGTACCTTTCATTATAGAGTATGAATGGGAGGTGGCACAATGAGTTTGGTCAACAAAGGCACTGAGGGAGACAGTATCGGAGTAGCAAAAGGACTGAGTTGTACCATCTGGTATCACCTACTTTTATGATCTGCCATTTAATCTTTTTCATTGTTACTGGTAGGCTACCATGCTGAATTTCAAGAAACTGTACTGATAAGACATGCTTCTTTTACTTTAAAAGGTGTATTGTGTCTTGTACTTTGAAAATTTACATGTGAAGGAGGAACCTTGTGTCTGGGATGTTGAAGAACCAAACAATAGTTGTCTGAGATGGTACTTTTAATTTTAGGGATTAGATGTGGTATTTTAGTCAGCTACCTTAGGATGAGTAGTGTTCTGCTATGAAGTGCTTATTTCTCTCAACTGTCAGTAAGGATGTCTAGACAGTAAATGCAAGAGGCAGACATTTGCATCAAAATTGTCGTAAAGTAAGAATTTCAGCCTGAAGTTCGTATTACGAATGATGTCTTGCCTTTTTCAAGCCTCCCTTAAAATACCAGATCAATGTCAGTCATCAGAGAGAATTCCCCACATCCAAGGGACAGCTTGTGTTCATTTTGGTCAGTAAAACCATGATAGAAAGTTCTTCCTGAACTTACAGACCCCTTTGTAGCTGTCACTGGCTGTGACATTCTACTATTAGCAATTTCAGCAGGCAGAGGTATAAATAAGGTAAGTATGTTTTCGTGCTGGTGTGGAGTAGTAGTGTACACATTTTGGAGCAGCACTTGTTTTTAAAGGAAAGAGGAAGAATAACTGTCATGGTCACAAATATGTGCTTTGGATAGTTGCCCAAGGAGTCCGAAGTTGCTTAATAAAGTAGTTAGTGTTGCTGTCCTGAACAGATCTTCTGTCTCTCTAAGCTGCAAATGTTGTGTTGAAGTTCTAGGAAAAGGTCACTTGGTGTTTGGCTAAGACATTAATGGCATCCTCAGAAATACCTATGCATCATCAGCGGCTAACACTACATACTTCCCTTGCAGAGAGCCATGCATACAAATCAAATGTGACATAGGTGATAACTTCACCGCAGCTGGTTCTCAACAGGAGGAACTTCGGCTTGAGCCCTGGTGCTTGCAGGGTGGCATTAATGGACTAAATTAACGTAGCCAGAGGGTAAATCAGAGGAATGCATATCCTCTGAAGGGCTTTCTTCTCCCTTTGGTGCACTTGTAAAGCCAAAATCCTGTGAACAGCAAATGGCAATCTGAAGAAACAGATAAAAACATTTTCATTTCTTCTTTCTGTATCAATGCAGTGTGTGTGTTGGCTCAAAAGGCTGCACTTTCAAGGCAGGCTTCAGGCATGTACCTGCTTTGAGATTTAAGACCGTATGGACAAAACCTTAGGAAATTCGGGCATATTGTGACACCAAATTGAAGTGGAGAAGCATATAAAGTATTAAAATCCAGGAACCTTCATACTGCTTTCAGTGGGCATTCTCTCAGGTGCTGTGGGGGGAAGTGATGCAGGAAGTAATTTGCTCATTAGAGGTAGCTGTCTTAATCTGTCTTTCTTTCATTTTTCCTTCTAGGTGCTCAGCTTGTATAACACCATAAATCCAGAAGCTTCTGCCTCTCCATGCTGTGTGTCCCAGGATTTGGAACCCCTCACCATCCTCTACTACATTGGCAAAACACCCAAAATCGAACAGCTGTCCAACATGATTGTAAAGTCTTGCAAGTGCAGCTAAAGGATACCCCTGAATCAGCATGATGTGTGTGAATTAAGAAAAATAACCAAGGAAAAGAAGAAAGAGAGAGCAAGAAGGAAAGAAAGAAAGAAAAATAAAAACCCAGGTTCATCAGTGTTAAAAAAAAAAAGAAAAAAAGCGGTACTAGTCTGAACTGTTTGAAAGTTTGTTTGATTTTTTTAAAACTGGCATCTGAAGCAAAACATTGAAGGCTTTTTTCCTACATTTCACCTACACATAGTGTGAGATAGACAAGAAGCAAAGTTAAAGAAAAAAGAAACCTTTTAAAAAATAAACACTGGAAGAAATTTGTTAGTGTTACCATGTGAAAGGAAAAAACCAGGAAAATCCCATGAAGTGGAGTTGCTGTATCTGTCCCGTGCCTTACTTGATCTCTCTGTATTGTTATGCAATAGGCATCCTACCCATTCCTCTTAGTTGTAGAGTTAACAGTGCATTATTTATTTGTGTGTAAAAACTATCAAATGAACATTTCTGTATCGCCATTGGAAAAAAAGAAAACCAGCCAATGTGGACAAAGTGGAGACCAAATAAGCTGCCAGAAATACATATAAAACCTAAAGGAACACAAGCTCAAAAGAATCAGAAAAGAAATGGTTAGTTTAGTTCGATTAAAATAGAAATCAGTTACTACATTATTGAGAAACTCTGCCTTTAAAATACCTTATTTTTCATGCCAGCTGCCTAGAGAGACTTCTTGAAAGGTCTCAAACCCTTGTTTGAAATACTGAATAATTTACTAATAAAGGACACTGTTTCAGTCTCAAAGACAAGTCTATAAGATTTTTTTTTTACTGTAAATGATTTAAAATGTCAGTTTAGTAAACCAGTGAAATATTTAACATGTACTGGTCTAATCTTCAGACCTTAATATGTTGCTGTATAGCTATGCTATGGGATTTTTTTGTTCTTTTGGTATATGTAACCATACCTAGAGTATTACAATAGGTGGGTAGTAAAAGCCAGCTTAATTGGAAACATATCTGTAGATCTCTATTTGTAAACTATTAAAAAATTACGTACTTTATGTGTAATGTGTAAATTTTCACCATATTTTTGTACTCTGTAATACTGTCAGCTCTCATGACTTTGAATTTGAATTTGGGGCTCTTTTTGATCACTCAGAATCATATGTTTCCCTCTAGCTGGCCAGTATGAGTAGAGTCCCTATATTTTGACTTGCACTACAAATACATGTTTTATAATAATTTCTATACATGTGCTTTGTATATTGTTCATCATTATGGCATAAGCTACCTGACTCCATTTGTTTTTCTGTTTTATAAAAAGGGTAGATTAAAGCAATCTCTCCCCCCCTCCTCCCCTCCGGCTTCAGTTGTCCCTGTTCATAACACTTGAGTTGCGATGTGGTTCGGATTTCTAGGCCTTATCATTTCCTTTCGGCTATCAACATTCAAACAGATGAGCAGGGAGCAAGGTGTTGCAAGAATGGTGTTCCAGCCTGGCTGAGGCGAGGCAAACCCTTGCAGAGAATGACATTCACCACTGTGCAGAAGGCTGGTAGGAAGTGTCTTCCAATGCCATGCCCCGAAGAGGTGTGAGCGGGATCAGGGTGCAGTCAGAGGCCATGCATCAGCCAGGTGTGCAGCAGGGATTTGGCCCTGCAGTCAGTCTGTGGGACTGATCCTGCTCCTGCTGCAGGTAACAGGTTTGCCTTTACCTTCTACAGTGGCATAGCAGGCCCCTCTAGGCTATTGGGGTGCGTGTGTAAGGATTTACAGGATCAGACCCTTGATTTTTTGGAAGTTTTCCATTTCTTTCTTCAACTGAGTTCATGTTAAAACTTCTTTGAAAAAAAAAAGGAACATGGTCCTAGGATTTTGGTGTTGTCACACGTTTTAATATTGTAGGCAGGAGTAAAAAAGAATTTCACATCACATACTTCATTTTAAAAAAGCCCCAAGCTAAACTAGCAAAATAAAAGAAATCATGATGAAGGCACAATCATTTCATTTCTCATGATGAATGCTTTTGCACAGCAAAGCTGGAAAACTGCGATACAAACACTGCTTGGATGAGAAGGACATTTTCTGTCATTGTCCTGGATGGTATTCGGAGGACACTCTTGAGCTTGATGTTGTCTGGTCCAGTTTAAAGAAGTGCAATTTCTTTGGCTTCAGCAGAACACTGATGCAAAACTGAAGTACCATGGTAGCTTGCACATGTAGCTCCTCAGGACTTCTGCAGAGCCCTGTGCTTATTGCCTAGATGGAAGTGTAGCCCCAGAGGTGATCTAATCCCACCCATTGACTCAGCACAGAGGAGGAGGTATGTTAGACTTCTGATTTATTTAGTGAGTTGAGATGAACAGGTGAAAAATCTGTCCTGCTAACTCTTGCTTGAGCCAGACTAACTCCAGTGAGAAGATGCACTGAACTCAATGAAACTCCTCAGGGTAATACATACTCTGGATTTTGCTGTATACAGCAGCAAAATTAGTTTTATCAGGTTCAGTATGAGAACTGTATTTTTGTTGGGCAGGAAAGAAGACAAAGATGAACATGTTTTACAATATTTAAAGATGTTTTTGCAGTTCTCTGCTATGGGAATGCAGCTCAAAACCAGTTTTGAAAAAGTGGAATAGGAGATGTCCAGCTATACTCACTATGCGCTGGATGCAGCTGAAAATTTTTATTTGGGTTGGAGTATAAAACCTTATTTCTGTAAGTCATTGCCCCAAGGTTGAACATTATTTTTCTTTTTTTTTTATTCCTCAGAATGCACTGATAGTATTTGAAATGCTCTATTATAAAGCTCCTGGAAATTTTTTTCTCTTTTTATTCATTGAGCATGTATTTCCCTTTAATTACTATGGATGTTAGGCCTGATCCTACAATGTGCAGAACTCATGGATGAAATTCCCTTTTACTGAGTAGGGTAATGTGAGTCCTAAGTACTACTCAGGTCTGATAAAATCCCCCTTGAATGATCTTTAGGTGCATCTGCAACAGCTCAAGGACTCTGTGCTACAGGCCTTATCATGACAAGGTAATTGCCACTGTCTGAATAAAGTCCCTGAGAACTGGTGGGAAATGTTCAGCATCTTAAAAGATCAGACCCAAGGGGCTGACTGGGCCTGAGGAGGAATCATAGCACTTAGCTGGGTGGGGTAGGACAGCATTTTTTATGTGTTTAGCATCAATATAATTGTATGGTTGGCATGGTTAAAGGAGAAAAAAAAAAAGGAACTTAAAGGACAGCTGTGTTGTACTTTGGTGATCGATTACTCTGTATTTTAACACATTGTATGTCTGTTTTTGTGGTGCTCTAGTGGTAAATAAATTATTTCAATTATATGCTGGTGTTGTTTTCATATGGCAGTGTTCTTTTAGCACAGGCAATGCCTCAGCTCTGACTCGGTTTAATCCCTGCACAGCCAGATTCAGTGTGGGATTTTAGTGTGTGTGTGTGACCGTGACATGGGCAGGCATAGGCTGAGGTGAAGAACAGCCATCCAGAGTAAGCGTGAATCATGTCTGCTTTGAGGATTGTTTTCCCATCAGCCATGGCAGTGGATGTCTTGTATGTCTATAGACACTTCTGATCAACTGCTCTGAGCAGCAGCACCGTCCCACGTGTTTGCAGGACAGGTACTGCCCTGGGCAGGAACTGTGTTACTCCACTATCCCACTGTGCCTAGTCCTTCACCGGAGCCATGCCCTGGCAGGCCTATTACTACTGGCACCAGTTTTGGGAGCTTTCCTCACTGATAGAGGATCTCAAAGCAGTCTCTTCCTCATTTCTGTAGTGCTGTGGGAGGTGAGAAGGTCAGTCTGTGATGCCTGTACACTAAATGATCCCACACTACTACATCTCTCTGGAGAGCACAGTGAAACTCTTGGATTTGCATGTTGTACAGAATAGTTCACAATGGGATGAGATAGGGTATTGGAGGAGAGAAAGCAGACAAAAGTTAGAACATGGCAAATTCTGGTTTTGTGAAAGGAAAATATTTTTACAGTGAAACTAGTCAAGCCATGAAATGGGTTGCCCAGAAGGCATGACATCTACATCTTTGGAGAAGCTCAAAACCATCTGGGCAAAGTTCCAGGCAGTCTGTTCCCACTGTGCCTGCAGTGGAGGTTGGGCTGGAGACCCCACAGCCCCTTTCCCACCTCCAGTCATGGTCCAACCCAATCACTATTTCTGTTGTGGGCTAAAAGAGCACAAGAAACGCTGGTGCTCAACTGCCCTGGTTATTTCAATTTGCCAGCACTAGCCATGTAGACACATGGAAGGGGTTTTTGACAGAAAATAGCATTCCCTAGTTTGTTGTAAGTCTCTTTCCATGCACTCTTCAATATTCAATTGCATTATCTAAGCAATTAAGAATTAAGGAGCCTGGTATTGCAGCTTTTCTTTATCAGGCTTTCTGCAGCTCTTAGACACTTAAATAAATACAACTGACGGGGCGAAGGACTGCAGGATCGAATCTTTACTTTTAAAGCTGATAATTCCAGACAGGGGACTGATGACACTCTTCCTGGTGCCTTCTTTGGTATCTAAGGGCTGCATAGCATTTCTTGGCATGAATGAAAGAATATGTTGATGCCAGATTGTTTAGGGTTATTGTGTTATATTATAACAAGTGGACTCTGTGGCCTGTCAGTATGTTTAAGAATACAACTTGGGATGGGCATTAAAGACAACCTTAGGGGTGATTTTACCACAGTTATGCCCTAACCTTACAGTGATCTGCCTTAATTGATTTCAGTGAGTTTATACAGGCATAAAACAATAGTCCTATGTATTTTTCATTTCCCAGCTATTTGCTTTGACTGTAATCTGCCAGCCTCATTCTTATCCAAGGAAGCCCTCACACTGCCATAAGGTGAGGTGAGTATACCTTGCAGCCCTGTGAGCTGTATTCCTGAAGTCATTGAAGAAGAGAAGTATTTGTGAAGGAATGCTGATTGGAAATTTTAGATGGGAAAGTGGTTGTGGTGCCTGTAACTAAAGAGGAGCAAAGTGGAGGGAACACAGTGTGCTAAGAGATTTTATAGCATGGGGCTGAAAAGATGGAAGCTCTCCCACAACAATGAGATTTATGCACAGTGTTTTGATGCTGGGCTTGCCTTTTCCTTTCATTAACACAGCCTCTCCAGACTGTATCAGTGAAGATCTTGCTCTGCTTGAATCAAATTGTGGTTAATAAATGCGTAATATTGAATATAGGAAAAAACCCACACCATGTAAATGTCTTGAAAACCATTTTTTAGGCCAAAGGC